CCCGGCCATTCTCTCCATTTCTTTTCTCTCATTTCCATTCCATGCCTTTCCATATCATTCCATTCTAATCTTGTACTTCATCTTATTACTCTCTTTTCCTCGCCTTTTTATTCCTTTCCACTACGGTTTTCCTTTTCATTCCATTTCTTCCATTTATATTTCCTTTATACCATGCCATGTTATCTCACTCCATTCTCTGCCTTTAATTTCCATTGTATTCATTTCTGTTACATTATATTCCGTTTCCGTCCATCCCTTTCATGCCTTTCCCATCTTTCAGTTACATTGCTAATCTATTCATTTTCTTTCCTTTCCAATCCTTCACTTTCTTTCATGATATATAATTTCCCCCATTTCTGCCACGGGTGATTTGAAGCAGCTTATATACAACAGTCTAAAATGGCATGAAATTAGAAATAGGAGTTACAATCAGGAAAAATATTTTTCACAAGAGCAGGAAGTCAAGATATGAGTAAAAAGTGAAAATATATGCTAGACCTGCATGGTATCTGTCCCTATATCTCTCACTTGTCTTTAAGCTTCCTGGTAGCAAATAAAAGAAAGAGACATGATCAGTTACATCACTCAAAAGGGAGAAAACTGCTAGTTCATCCAGGCATAAGCAGAGCTTCCCATAGCAAATTTAGATAGCTCGGGTGACGGCTTCCTAGTTATAAGGACTAGTGGAATTACTTTAGAGAACTCAAGTGATAACATGCATTTTGTCAGGACTAGCCAGATTACTCCAAGCCCAGGGATAGATTTTAGATTCTATATTTTGAAAAAGTCAGTGACCAATCAGAATTAATCCAGAGGAGACAGACAAGGGAGGCCAAAACAGGAGCTCAAATCCATGTCCTATGGACAGAGTTTTGTTGGCTTTGGAAAACAGAAAGTTTAGGGACATAGAACTGAAATATTTTAGTGTCAGAAGGGCTGGCTGAGGTAGAGGGACAAACATGTTCCCTGTTGTTCCCGAGATCGGATCAATTACCATGGAGGATAGGTTAGAGGGTGGTAGACTTTAGCTCAAGTGACAGATGAACCTTTCTCAAAAAATGTGAATGTCCTATATATCTTAGTCAGGGATTTTTTTTTTTTTTTTTTGAGATGGAGTCTCGCTCTGTCACCTGGGCTAGAGTGCCATGGTGTCAGCCTAGCTCACAGCAACCTCAAACTCCTGGGCTCAAGCAATCCTCCTGCCTCAGCCTCCCGAGTAGCTGGGACTACAGGCATGTGCCACCATGCCCAGCTAATTTTTCCAATTTTAAGAAAAAACGGGGTCTCGCTCTTGCTCAGGCTGGCCTCGAACTCTTGATCTCAAGCAATCCTCCTGCCTCAGCCTCCCAGAATGCTAGGATTACAGGCGTGAGCCACCATGCCCGACCAGGGATGTTTAATAGTGAGAAAGATAAACCCTTTGACAGTAGTTCACATAAAATAGAGATTAACTGAGAGAACACTGAGGAGTATCAGATAACTCAATTTCAGAAATGACTGCTGGGCCTGGTGAGGACTGGAATGCTCTTGGGAAGCTTCTCTTCTTATTGTGTGGTTTCTCGTTTTTGCTAAAATATGGATTTGTGCCATTCTTCTCAATCCAGATCGAATAATTCCTAT